ACGACCCCCTGATCATCGGAATGATGTTTTCCTTGTTGTTATGCTGACGCTAGTTACTTATCAAACCCGCACAAGGTAAATCCCCGAATGGTTATGTCTTTACCGTTAAGGATATGGCAATATCTTGAAGGTCCACGATATAACCTTAGTTGCGAAATCTTTGAATCGTTCCAAGACTCACCTTACTTTACTATACCACACGCAATACATGGTTGAGAGCTCTTGTTGAGCATATTCGAAGTACTTGCTGTTTTCATCTATCGTTGAGTCCCAACGACGATCCATGAAGACTATGTCGCATGTATCAACCCGACCAAGCCATGATACATCAACGAAGTCAAAACCAATACATATTGCGTCTACATTCATATCAACAAAGCATTAGGAGATTAATGTCATGCAAGGCAATCCCAGACAACCTTGTCGACCTCTACACGACTTCACTACCGAAGTCAACCTTCCAAAAGGTTGTCCGAGGAATTGGTATGCCTAACTATTCATATGTCATGCTTGTAGTTCTCATTTGAAAGTTCTGTCAAATTCAGGGGGAGTATCCAGAAGTATACTCACTTAATCTTAATATACTCTTTTTCCCTACGATTATGAGCATTTTTTCCACTGGGTTTTTACTACCTAACTAGGTTTTGACGAGGCACCCATCCTTGGTTGGTCATACCTTTGTGAGCTGTTCTACTTGCGTCCAGAAGACGTATAGTTTTGATTTAATGCAATTTCTCACTTTTCTCTTTAGCCCATGGGTTTTTCTCCCACCTTGGGTTTTACCATAGCGAGATTTTGTGAGTTTTTCCTTTTATGCATTCTTTCGTTGATCTGAGACTTGCATTCGCTCATTGTGCCGACGACTTCATCAACTATACTTACTTCATCGCGAAAGACTCGATACGCCATTTGTTTGAATATTTACACACTCAAGAGCGACTGTTGCAGTCCTATGAGATTAAGAATGTGATTATATAAATCTTAGTATATCTAGGGATATTTTAGAATATTCTCTAGGGTTAGATATTATCCTATTAGAATTGTAATCCTATTAGGGTAAGGATTTAATCCTCTCTACTACTATAAATAAAGCCACAATGGAGTGATATAACACACACCTCACAATTGCACATTTCTCTCTTTCTCTCTTTCTCTCTACTATTGTTGCACCTCCCTCTCTGTCCTTTATATGATTTAGTGAATTAGGCCTACAACAATTACTAAATAATTTCTGATTTAATTGATTTTTTGTTGAAATGATTTTTAATTATTGATTAAGAAGATGAAAGATTGCATAATAGAAATCGCGCATTTTCGATTTGGACAGTGAACATTGTACTATTAGAATTACAATGCTGCTCTTACTGTTCGGTTGTCTAACCAATTTTTTTAGTATAAATGTCACGTTGCTACGTGCAGTTATCTAAGTAATTTTAGTCGACGGTTTATTATTAATTAAGACGAATGCTAGCAATCTCATTCAACTCAAGTTGCTTGTTGATTTGAATACTACATTCTATATAAAAAAATTAATTATATCCAAAATTGTTTCTTCGTTTATTAGTTATCGGTAAACAGACCGATCATGTTTAAACAATCAAAATTATTTTTGAAAAGTGACTTATAAAATAGAAAGTTTTCAGTCATCAAGCAACAATGCATGATTGTAAGAAGAAATAAAGAAGTTCAAATGAAAAAGTTACAAGCATTATTAATCGAGCTTTCCTCTCATTTAATGTTCATTAAAGACTTCGTGTAGCTTTTTCTCCGAGTATAGTAGCCCAAGAAATTCAGTATATTTATGAAATTTTATTCTTTATTCGTACATACCAATGATCATAAATAATGATTATAATAGTAATGGTTTCAATCATAAATAATGATTATAAACGATTACAATCATAAATATAAATTTTGTAAATTGATCTGAAAGTATTTTAAGCAAAAATTCATCATCATTGTTTGAAGAGCCAAATTAATTACTTCGTAAAAAAATATCCATTGGGTGATACACACACACACACAAGGTAACTTGTTCAAATTGTCAAGCCCTTGGTAGTTTTTTATAGGGGTGGGCACTTAGAACCATGGTACAAAATATCGATATTATCGGCGATATTTCGCCGATAATATCGTTTTTGTAAGGCAACGATATTTTCACACTTTCCCATTAATTTTCGTTAATATATCGCGATATTATCGATAATATCGATAATATCGTCATATTATCGACAATATCGATAATATCGTGTAAACCAAGGGCCCACATATCAAATATTTAACTGATAAGACCAAATACACTTGATCTCAGCCAAAAGGCCGAGAAAGCCATGCCTGTGGCAGTGTTGGGCTTTCGATTTTATACACGTCTTAACTCTCCTACATTCTTCAGCTGGCCGATGTGGGACTAGAACCGTGCTTTCTTGTAGAGTTGCAGTGCTGTTTCTGACTTCGTCCTTTAAGGCAACAACATCTTATAGCTTTAAGACCACAAAACTACAACAACCAGGAATTTAACATGCCATGGGATTGATCCAGGAGATCAACATGTCCTCTTTTCTCGTCCTCTTTCTGGCTGCATCATCTTTCAGTTTCTTCCCTAGCTCGGTTTGAAGAATAGAGCTTGAAACAAGAAATTGAATGGGGAAGTGGGATCTGCAAAAGCTTTCTGTTCCTTGACAAGTTTATGCTTCTAAATTGTTGAAGAGATTGCTGAATGCCAATCACAAACATGGTAGCAAATCATCTACGCAGCAAACCGCGAAAGTTGCCCGAAAACTTCATCAAACTCGAAAACTACAGAAACCCAGAATCTAGGGTGTAGACCTCACCAGCTGAAGCATCACAAACAGGAACTACACATTCAAACGGACATCAACACAAATTGACGCAATTATGCTGAATTCTATAATCTCAAATAACAAATTCACCGAATGTAAAACCAATTCTTACAAATTCTACTTACAATTTGAACGAATTAAACAAAATATTAAACTCCAAGTTGAACGAACGAAATTATCATCGCCATTAAACAAAAACCCAGATGAGAATTTATCGAAAATGAACAGCCATACCTGCATGCAGCTCCTTCCTCTGTCAAAGATTGAATCCTTACGCTGGACGCGATCTTCGTACCTGTCGTTTCCGAGGTGGTCAGCGAGAGTATCGAGCTTCTTGTGCGACGAGTTTGAAGAGGGCCATAGTCCGCGGGTGGGGCCCGAATCGTCGAGCTGCGTTTTGGGCTTTCGGTCATCGGAGAAAGGTGAAACAGGTTTGCACCGGACCGGCAAGATGGGATGGTTCGGCGAGGGGAGCGTGGTGGTTGGCGATGATAGAAACCTCGAGCTTACTTCGCGGGATTTAGCTCTTCTGGGTTTGTGGGATTGGTCTGTCAGTAATCGTTCTTCATTCTGTGTTGTGTGCTTTTGCACTTTGCAATCTCTCTCTGTCTATATATATATGCAAACTTCAGACTGACTGGAGGCGGAGGAATAGAGGAGGAGGCGGAGGAGGGAGGGATCTCTCTCTCTCTCTCTCTCTCTCTCTCTCTCCTCTCTCTTTGGGTTAAAGCCCGATTTCGTGGGAAGCCCAAGTTTTTTAAGTGTTTTAGAAAGCCCAAATGAATCCCTCCATTCTCGGCCCAATGAAGGCCCCAAAATCGCAGGGACTTGGGCTGGTAATGAGGACCCCAAGGTGACATCGTCTTCAATGATTTTCAGGTGTCGGTGTTGGACTAAGCCACACAATAGGTTATTAGTAATTCAGAGTCGAACTTGTCATGAGAGTATGACTCCCATATTGGAAAAATGAGTAACTTTATAAGAAATTAAGCTATTCTTCATATTGTCAATTGGTCCACCTTCTTCATGTGTTAGGTCAATAACCACACATTGCTCCACGTCACTCGATTGGCGTTGTCCATATGGAACGCTTAGAAGTTATTTTCCTCGTGTTTAGAAGTTATTTTCTACACTCACAATGTTTGCCAGCTCGCTATATAATCAACTTAAATCAGTTAAATCCATCATGCAATGCATTTTCTTATCATGCAATGTATAAAGTGTAAAATATTGTACTAATTCATTATATATAAATGATTATGGTGTGTTTAGACTTCTTTCATTAATTACTACATATTTTCTACACTCACAATGTTTGTCAGCTCGCTATATAATCAACTTGATAATGTTAAATCCATCATGCAATGCATTTCCTTCCAATTTTTTGTGATAAACTAATAGATAATTGACTAAATAAACATCCTGCAAAGTTTCAATAAAAATTTCCAAGTTTTTCTTACAATTTCTGTGGTTTCCATGTAATTTTTATCGATATCGATATTATCCCGATATTTCCATCGATATTTCCGTGTTTTCGGACTACTGATATTTCCGATATTACCGATATTTTCTTCCTTGCTTAGAACCGAAAACCGAAACCGAAACACGAACCAAATCGAACCGCAACGAATGGTTTAGTTTTGCGGTTTTGAAACGATTTCAGTTTTGAAACCGAACCGCAACATAGAAAACGGTTTGGTTTCGGTTTTGGCTTTTGAAAACCGCACCAAAACCAAACCAAACCGTAAATATTAATAAACATTTAATTAAATGTCCATATTAGATTTCATGTTTTAATTGGTTGTTTGTTAGAATCCATACATTTAGTATGGACTCAACCACACTAGAATATCATCATTCATCACTTTCTTTCGTTCATTAACGCGAATGACCTTTGTTATTTTATACCATCACACACACACACATATGTACATGGGTGGACTAATCTTGTTATCAAAAGTCGAACAATGATCTAATGAAGTTCACTCATTTGAAGCATGATATCACATATTATAGTATAAAAGTTTCGCTCACGTTTAATGAATTCAAAGTTATTCAACTTGTTTTATGTTATACCTTGCATGGGACACCCTTTTGTTGCACAAACATACTTTAACATCACAACTGCATGCAACATGCTAATTATATAACAAATGTCTTTTTCCTATTGCTACTGGGAAATGCTTATTAATATGTTAAATTGCAAATTGTACATTTTTTCTTAAAAACCAAACCGAAACTATTTGAAACACACCGAACGAACCAAACCGCAAATTTCAATTTCGGTTTTGGTTTTACTCAAAACCGCACCGAACCAATCCGTAGCCAACCCTAGTTTTTGAATATCGTATGAACCCCGTTCTGGTTGTAATCTGCCATACTTTATAATTTATTTATGTCACACATCATAAATTGTATGGCACAAACAACAAATCTCCAACATCTGCAAAAGGATGTACACTTAGAACAACCACCGTAGCCGGAGCCGGAGCCGGAGCCACCACCTTTTAGATCCACACCAACTCTAACATCACACGTCTCAGTGAAACGTTTATATCAATCCTATGAAGAATAAAATTGCTGAATACTTGAGTTCAAGAGTGGTTCAGATGGTTATGAATTAGAAAACCGGAACACCTTTCATACTCTCTCTTACTTCCAATCTACAGCTTCCTAGCATTCCGGTGACCAGGTGAGCTAGTCACAGTTCTTGAGGTAATGCTCGCAGTTCTTAGAAGTCTACGGAATTCTGATAGGCTGATCCTCCCATCTTTGTCAATGTCCGCCTCGTCAAGAAGTGGATCTATAGAACCTTTTAAACCCGTGTGCTGCAAAAGAAAAGAAAGCAATGTCGTAGATTAGCAAACTAAACAAGAACAACACTCGAACCAATTCAGTGTGCCGTGTATCTGTGTCGTCTGAGAGGGAGAAGGCAGATAATACTGACCATTCTAAGTTCCTCTGGAGTTATAAACCCATCTCTATCTATGTCGAATTTCTCAAAAGCTGCCCGTGAGCGCTGCTGCCATTTCTGTGAGTCATGTTCCTCCAATTGATGCACATGTAGAGTAGCAGCGACAAACTCAGTGAAGTCCACAAGCCCGTCTGTGTTGCTGTCAATCTGAATCAAGCAAGTAAACAACCACATCCCAAACCGTACAAAGGAAGCAACATCCAAACTCTGATATAAGGATCGATGTGAGATTCACATCGCCTTGGGTTGGAGTAAGAATGATAAGGGGAAGGAGAACCTAAGAGACTGGCATAAAGAACATAATACAAAGGTGGGGTTTTCCCTTGGTAGAGAGAAGGAAAAAGAACAGAAAAGGAAAGAGTTGTGGGGTTGGCGTACCGCTTCCAGTATCTCAAGGACACGCGAATCTTTCAATTTCCAAGGGACATCTTTAGCAAGTGCCTGCGATAGACATGAATTTAGAAGTTAGAGATGTATCAAATTCTACATTTCATAAGGAAGTGGGCATGAATTCTAAAGTTCAAACTTAATGTGATAAAGGTTTACCTGTCTCATTTCTTCGAGACTAATCGCACCATTCTTATCCATGTCAATTGCATCAAATTGATCTTTGAGATCAGATAGCTCCTCAGGATTAAGCGTGCTAGCTAATGCCTGCAAGCACATAAATTTTGAATGACAGAAATTAAATACAAAACGCACTTGTCTTTGAAGTATTGGAAACTCCAACAGAAGGAAATCTTTCTTACCCTTAGAGCAAACTGTTTCAAACGACTATATCTCACGAACTGGCGCATGTTATTGAGAACAGATATATCGATGGGAATCTCTGATGCATCACCTCCTTCTTTAACCCATGGGTGTGCTGGAATGAAAATATAAAGAACAATTAAACCCCCAAAGAGATAATCTTATCACTTCATATAGTCGCTGCGAAATAAAATAATAATGTCTCTGGGTATTGACTATTGACACCACCAACCATATTGCAAAGAAAGCAAGCATTCGGAAAATCGTTTCCAAACCGACTAACTTGAACTTTTAAAAATACATAAACGCTTTCCAGTGCCATAGTAGTCAGCATTATTTCTACCAGGATGAGATCTAGGGACATACATAGAGCCTGAGCAGCAGTTAGCCTCGCCCGAGGATCCTTCACAAGTAACTTCTTAACAAAATCTTTAGCACTGTTACTTATGCTTGGCCATGGTTTGCGACCAAAATCAGGCTTCTTCCTTAAGACCTGCAAAAAAAGAGGCAATTAAGTCTACTAAACAGAAAATGGAGGGGCGGGTGCGAAATGTGCAAATAATAAAGTGGCAAAGGATTCTTGCCCCCAAAAAGAAAAATGAAAATCCAACAGAAAAGGGAACGGGTTTATTAGTACACAAAGTTAAGAAACTACACCTCCTTAAATATACCATCTTCGGTCTTATCCCAAAATGGACGTCTCCCGCAAAGCAAAATGTAGGTAATAACACCAATACTCCAAACATCTGACTCAGGCCCTGACTTGCGTTTCAATACTTCAGGAGCAACGTAGTAAGCACTGCCAACAATATCTTGAAACTTCTTCCCTGCATTTTCAGTTTAAGCAACTTTATAGGTTTCAAATATAAATGTCCAGAAACATCATTACAACTAATAGATGAACAACACTGACAGGAACTTGTAAATCTCTTGATGAAATCTTTCTAGGACTGAAAATATGCATACCTGGTTTTATGAAGTCAGACAAACCAAAGTCTGTTGCCTTCAAAGGCGAGTCTAAGGCTTTCGACTTGAAAAGGAAATTCTTCGAGCAAGGAATAAAGGTAAGGTTATTCAATCATGAAAAATGACTCCAGATAACAATTGCTAAATTCATGTTAATGAACTTGTTTATACCTCAGGTTTCATGTCACGGTGCACCAGACCATGTAAATGACACTCAGCTGCAACCTTGAGCATCTGCCTTACAACTACTGCGGCATCCTTTTCAGTGTAACGGCTGTCCTTCCTGATTAACCAAGAACAAGAATATAATAGCAATGTTACAAAATATATCATAGAGCAAAAATTTCATTGTCAACCAGAAATCAGATGAGTATTTATCCCAGGACTTTAGGGAATCTTACTTCTCTAGAATCCGATCCAGCAACTCACCGCCTTCACATAACCTGATAATACAGAAAATTGAAGACAACATGAGCAACATATTAATAGGATGATGTAATACACACCTATTATAAAATACAATGTCTCCGAAAAGATGAAGATCGCGTAACCAGAAAAGGAGTGTATGAATCAAGAGAAGAACAATGGATAGTTTGAAAACAATAAAAGGGAAACTTACTCCATAACTATATACACATAAGAGTCATCTTCACAGGCATTATAAAAGTGGACCACATTTTCATGGCCTGCAAGGGCCTGTAATATCCTGACCTCTCGCTTAACATCCTCAACAGCAATAGGTAGAATCATCTGCCGCCAAACAAAATACCATTCCAGCATTAATGGAACAATTTCAAAGAGGAAAACGGGAACAAAGTAATTATCTTGCCAATGGATGCATTAATAACAATTACATGTTCAGGAAAACTGGCTGAAAAGAAACAAAATGAAATACATATTTCAACACTTGCAACTTGGCAAGAACAGAAAAACAAAAACAGACAATAACTTTGCTAACGATGCCTGCAATAAAACAAAAGGCAAGCCCCACAAAACTTGAGTAATTATATCTGCAACTATTTATGCAATCAACCAAACTAAGTAGTTTCCATTAAATAGAATTAACTGCTACCGCAATTGAATGAAGGTGAATTTTAAGAAGCGACAACTGAACCCCAAAAATGGGAAGTTTAACTCTCTGCTCCTCAGAAGAAAGTGGGAATCTACAAGAGATTAAGTCTTAATAGTATTGGAAAAAAGAGCAAAAAACCAGAATTTCGAATCCGCAGATAGAATCTACCAAAACACAACTAACAAGTTTTTTTTGAATATCACATTTAACAATTGAAATCCACCCTAAATAGAAAGTTTCACAATTCATCAAAACAAAAATGAAAAATAGGGAAAACTCATGAACCCCAGAATGTCATACAGCAAAATGAGATTAAAAAGGGCAACTTTCCAATGAATTGATCCAAAAACTAAAAAACACAAAACCCAATTCAGAAATTTGAGATTCCAGTTCAATACCTTGTTCTTATCAATCCTCTTGACCGCAACTCGATCCCCATTTGCCCTATCGGTTGCAACGTACGTGTACCCAAATTGTCCGTGACCCAACAACTTCCCGATCGTGTACCGCTTATCGAAATTCTTATCGTACCCGAAATCGGTCCGCTTTCCGCAGGGAATGACCCCCGTCCGGCTCCTGGAGTTGAGCTTGTTTTTGGGTTTATGAACAACCTGCTTCTTGGGCGGTTCATTGGGTCCGTGGGTGGGTCTCTGTTCTTGCTTCCCGGCTGTTGTGCTCTGTTTTCGGTTGTGATTGTCGGCAGGGGTGGCGGGGGCAGTGTTGTTGCTATTTGAGCCACTGACTTTGATGGTGGAGAAGCACCCTCCCATGGTTGACCGAGAAGATAAAAAACAGAGAAAGGAAGCGAAGTTTTACTTTTCAGAGGTTTTGATCGAAAACCATTGCTGGCGGAGAAGAAAATGGATCATTTATGGAAAGGATCTGAGAAACATATAGATACAGAGATATAAAAATATAATGAGATGGAAGGAGGAAAGATTGGAGCAGATGGGAGGAACAAGAGAAGAAAGAGAGGGAGGAGAAGGAGGGGATGGTCAAAAGACGGTTCTTGTGACAAAAAGAAAAAAAAAATTAAAATTGAGAAAGCGAGAGAGAGAGAGAGAGAGAGAGAGAGAGAGAGAGAAAACGTTGGCGCGGAAGCTACACTGTCTTTCTGCTTTTAAGATCGTTATTATTATTTACTTTCAAAACAGATTTTGTGAATTTTCCTTCTCTTTTATGTCCTTGAGTGAAATAAATAATTTAACATCTCGCTACTATATTTATTATTTGTTATTTTAAAAAAAAATTCTAGAAGATTTATACAGGTGTGCAACGCGGTGAATTTTTTGTTGCTCATCACGGTAAATAGCGTAATAATAGTTAAAAACAACAAAAGATTCATAAATAAAAGATAAAAAATTTAATTCATTAAAAGAGAATTTAATAGAATGATGGTAAGAATTTAACGAGATTAGAGATGGAAGTGGAAAGTGAACATATCGAGTGAGGGGTTAAACAACAAAAAAAAAAAAAAAAAAAAAAAAGCAAACCGTGAGTTTGCAATGGTAGATGATAAACGTAATTTTGTATAATTTGTTTGTGTAATGAAATAATTTTGTATTGAACACAATTAAATCTTGGAACTGTATTATATGTTGATTATATTATGTTAGGGCAGGGATTAGGTTTTGCTTATGTTATCTTTGTCTTGATTTTTTCTAACTTTGTTGGGTTAATTGTGAATTGTGATCCAACCACGTCAACTTTGTGCACTCCATGTTGACGTTGGAGCTTATATCTATAACAAGATTAGGTAGACCTCAATGAATCCCTGGTTTACACACACGCGCGCTATTTTTATATAGATTTTGAAGAATGCGATATATATATGATAGTATGAATATATATACATACACATACACATACATATACATATATATATATACACACACACACACACACACATATATATAATTTGTTCTTCTCAGAATCTCCAGTTTTCTCATATAAATTCATGAACAACGACAACTATTCAGCAACTAGTCCAAAAAACAGTAACTACACTATTAAGGCAGACGACAGAACAATTTGAAGGTAGGGGTCCTATAATGCTCAAAGTTCTCGAGCACTTTCAAGGAAGAGACATCACCCTACAATGCAAAATTATTTATATGGGGCCATTGTATATCTTACTCTTATATTTATCTTTTTCATCATGTGATATAGTCACGAATTAAGAAAGATATATAGCGACAACAGTAATATACAATATTAACGACGAAAGTTTGATATACTCTTGTTAGTGATGGAGGCAAGTCCTGGAGAAGTCTAATTCTTTTATTTCTAAAGAATAATGGATCAATTCTCTCCCTCCAAATTCCTAACCTATAGGTTGCAGTAGCTAAACACAAGTAATGTTTTGTGACATAGATCAATGCAGATAGGGAAATTTACCAAGGAACTCCACAATCATTAATTGAGCTCACCTTAGCTAAGTTCCCTCAGTATACGGGCAATCAAATGATTAAGAAATTATGAGAGCGAGTGTCTGTACGTGGTCATACACTCACCTTAGCTAAAGTTGCCAGCCTTCCAGTAATTAATGGCAAACCAAATGATATGAAGCTCGTGGAAATGTTTCATCTTAAATTAACTAGGCAAATTAATTTATTAGACCAACAGAAAAACTATATAAAGTTAGCCAAACTAGTGGTCTTTAATAACCATATGATTGAGCCATGTGGTATTGCATCATTGGTTGAGTGATTGATTAGATAGAGTTACACTACAAGAAACATGGCTTTTGTGACGACCAACATTCGTCATATAAATATGAAAAATCATCACATTAGCGTTACCTATACAGCGTCATCGATAGTTTAAGTGACGAATATTGGAGTCGCCACATATTTTCATTTTATGTGACGCTTCTTCCGTCACTTATTATTCTAACATTGACAAAATTAGCGTCACAAAATACAAAATTCAGTGACTTATGTTTTTCGTCTCATATCAGACTTATAAGTGATGCTTTTTGGGTCACACAATATGATCCCAGAATTATATAATTACACTAAGTGACGCTGAAATCGTCACATATTCTTTTGATAGGTGAAGCGGCTTATGTCACGTATGTTATAATCAAATAACTATTTAGAAATAATATTTGAGGAATCCATTACTTATTCGTGTTTTGTAATCTAGAATAGCAACTCATAACAATTATAAGGTAATACTTCCCATTTTCATTAATCAACAATTAAACCACGTAAGTTCGAATATGTTCAACAACTGTACATCCAACAAAATAACATAAACATCCCAAAATCAATCTAACTCATGGTGACCTATCTTAATAATAGCAATTTGTGAAGAAGGGTACCAAGGCCTATACATGGACTGTTTAAGGTACTAACTAACAAAAGAAAAGTCTAAGACACATTGAGGTGCTAACAAAAAGGTCTACCATGTGCATACTTAACTAATACAAAAGACATAACTATCGAAATCATTCTTCTTTTGAGTCATGTTCTTCCAATTCAGGGATAAACATTTTCACTAGATGAGTTATTACCACCAGATTCCTTCGAGTTGTTGCTAGTCTGCCCGTGACTTGCAACCAAAAAACCATAATTTTTTATGCCAAGGTTTCATCTTTATTTTGTAAATCCAATTAAGCTCTCAATTGTTCATTTTCCTGTTGCAATTTAAGGAAACCATAGAATCTTGATCTGATCTCTCATATCAGTTAACTCAGAACTTGAAGCCATAAAAGAAACACAACTAAAGGTATCCGTACGAGGGAAAAAACCTACACAGTTAACAGATTTTCCCTTCCTTCCAAGGTTCTCAGGCAAATTAATTTATTAGACCAACAGAAAAACTATATAAAGTTAGCCAAACTAGTGGTCTTTAATAACCATATGATTGAGCCATGTGACATTGCATTATTGGTTGAGTGATTGATTAGATTGAGTTACTTAGAGGTTGTTAGTGAGGGTATTTGGGTCCTTTGAAATAGGTCTAATGACTATAAAAAGGAAGTTGTAAAGATCATTTTATGTTAAGTTGTATTCAACTATTGTGAGAAATGCAGAGAGCATTCCTTTCATCATCTTCCCTTGTTCATCTTTCTGCCATTGTTTCTTTCTTCCATCCTTCATAGATTCTAACATGCCCCGATCCCGATATTCCCCAAATACTAGGATAGGCACGTGTTGGCCGACACCCGAGGGTGACGAAAGCCATTAATTGATACAAAAGCTAAGAATAAGAAGTAAATAAGGGTTATGAATTTAAAATACAATGAGTTAATAATTTAGGAACGTGTTCAGAGCATACGACTAACTAGAGCTCTAAAGGAATTAATATAAAATTGAATAAATAAAAGGATGTGGATCCTACACTGAGAGGACTCGAATAAGCCAATGTGAAAGCGTTGACATCGGGATCGTATGCCTCGATTCTAAATCTTGAAAGGGGGCGCAAAACAAGGGTGAGTGGACCGAGTTCATATATATATACATAATACGAAAACAGTTATGAACATACTAACCCCCAGGTTTATAAATAATGAAAACTACTAGCATAATAAGTGATAGGTTTTTTGAAACTCTAGCATGCCATAAAACATCTCAACAGGTATAACGCGAAAAAACATCATATAAATCATCACGTGTATCGTCTCGTAGATCGTCTCGTAAGTACGGTGTGCTGCCAGTAAGATCACTGAATAATAATATAACTCCCGACCATATACCATCATCGTGGTCTTTGCGCCCGTAGCCAGAGATTACCAACTCCCGGCCCAATGCTTGCTCTGTGTCCCTCAGCCCGTAGCTAGGGATTATTTCTCCCGGCCTAACTGCCAACACCAGATCCTCGCCCTAGATGGCATAGTGTCCACTACGTACGCATAAATAGTTACGCCTCTCAAAAATAACCACTTCATAGTATAAAGTCATCCATCGTCTATACTATAAAGAAGGGTTTCGAAAACATGTTCTAACATTCTATCGTCATCCATCGAATAGTCTACCAGTTCATGGTTTTTATATAAAATACTATATATTAAAAATATAGCTCAAAATAGGCCAACAATTAATTCCTCACCAAAAACATGAGACGAAAATCAACATATTCAATAAACATGCTTAACAAAAAATCAAAACATAAACTCGTAAGGCATGCTATTCATTTATGCAATTGAACTATAAAATCATGTAATTTTAAAAGGGGTCCACTCACTAGTAATTCCAGTAGATTGCTCAATAGGTGCCTTAATCCATCTCTGTACCATTAAAGTTGCCTCTACCTCGTTGAAAGATTCCGCTAGAACTAACGGTTTCCACTGCAGTCGCCGTTAATCTTAACAGCAACCACCGCTGGCATTGCCAGAGTTTGTCATAAACTTTTGAGGATAAGAGGACGTTGAATTCATCTCGGATTCAACATGAACTTGCCGGATTTTCCTTGCCGGATTCTTGAAAAAGGAAACAGAGTGCATGCATGTTAATTCTCAGTGATCTCCCACCAAACTTCACATGCAACAAGGTACCTAATTACCTAGAATAGTGTCCAACTGAATTCGAGGGCCAACACTCTCAAACTTGACGGAGAAAAACACGGTTTCATCATCGAAAACTAAGATAAAAAGAATATGTGTATGCAGAGAATTAAAAATATAATCGACATAAAACTCATCCAGATAAATTATACACAACCAAGAGAAGAACAATTCCTACCTGATATAAAAATTCAAGAGAGCTCTAGCTCTCGATGGCTATGGCAGATTACGCAGAGGTGCGCAAAAGCCACATACAACCTTGCAGATAGATTCTCTAGGTCCTAAAGGTCCAAGGTTTGAGTTATTGGAAGTTGATTTGATCAGATTCGCGAGAAATAGTGATGGTTCCTACTCAGAGATAAAGGATGAGAATGCAAAAAGGAAATGGAAAAATAGAAAGTAAGTGTAAAAGAATGAAGAAGAAGAGAGAGGTTCACGGTGCAAAAAATAATTATAACCTTGGGCGGGGGTTTTGGGCTAACGTTAGCACATCCTAAAAGATTGGGCCAAAAAGTCTAAGTCCACTAATGGCGA